TTAAAAAGAGTAGTGACAAATCCTATGTACGTAATCTACGTTTCTGAATATGCGCTGCGGCATACCCAAAACAAAGCCTGTATACCATCCTTATTTCATATGGCTTAGGACAATGCATCAAAGTATGCGGGTTCACATATGCAGAAAACGTAATACTTCAAGCCGAAGGATAGTTACACCCGTGGTCGCGCTAAAGATGCTTAGAGCATGAACTAAAAGTTCAAGCAACATCTTTAGGATGGGTCAGTCTGGCATCCTATTATCTCTAGATAATATCTGCCCATGTGCGGATGCGAACACACCGCCATTGACTATGAGACTAAGTCAAACATCCAACACACACTAGTCTCACATGCATTAACGATATCCCACTCTCGTTAATACTCGACTATGGACATTTAGATAAATATTTATTTCAAGATGTTAGTCTCATCAGCAGAAGAACACTATCTGATAAACATCTTTTAAATATAAATCTAGGAATATAATATTTGTTTACATTAGCATGAGATGTGTAAACATATTATATCTGCCTATACATGATAGAATAATGATAAACAGTTGGCCATCAGGGCACAACTCCAACAGTGTTGTAGGAGTTTCAGGAGTTCTTGTAAAATCATTCTCAGACGACTTTGTCTGGAATGTTTGTTTTCACAAATTATGCTACGTTGTGTACAAGCTGGAACGAATTGTTTCTAGGTTTGATGTTTTTAAATAATGGTATTTTGAGGAATGACTATTACCATAGTCATCATTCTAAGTTTCTTAGATGAATACGTAATTATAATTTCAGAACTTTTACTATCATTAGTGATCCTTAATGGAGTTGTTCTGACTAACGTAATGTCAATAAGCTGATTAAATCTTGATTGTAACAGTTCACACATATACCACACTTATATATAACAATAATATATTTTTTTCATCACATTGTAATGATTGGATGAACGTTTTGATAGCACTTGCTATTTGTCACTATTTGTTTTATCAAGATGATATGTAGTCATTCTTGAATACTGATTTTCTGATTGATGATTTCAGAACTACCTTGGAATTTCAGACTTTCTCAATGGTTATGAAAGAACTTCATGCTCGAAAATTATAATATTAGTGTATTTGTCATATCACTAATATTCTACTTCACACAACAGTTATGTTATTTATTACCAAAAACATGATAAGTTATACACGTAGTCGTATTCTAATACGTTTGTGATTCCACTGATACATGCGTGGTTTTCTCTTGATGGTTTTCCCAATTAACTTGGGAAGGGATCACATTCACCTTCAGTGTGGTCGTATCCACCACACAAGTGACAACTTTTCCTTTCTAGTTATTGCACATAAGTTCCTTCGTTAGGGTCAAAACAGAGTTGCTTGATCATCAGTGATAATAATTTTCATAGATAATGTAATCATATCAACCGTTTAGTAGTTCACAGAATATGGTTTTTTTTGAAGATCGGTATCATAAAAATATATCTTTTTGGTTTGATAGAGAATCATGAGTTAAAACAAGTTCTCAATGATCGGATATATAAAAAAAATATGGAATTCAATCTTTTCAAGTTTGATCAAGTGAGATGCTTTAAGTGTGTAACTAACTGTAACGCCCCGAAATCTGGCCCAAAAGAATTAATTAAATTGTCAGAGCAATTGATTACGAATTGGGCCTAAAAAGGGGTTAAAATTATAATTTGGATTTTAAGCCCAACTTTTATGTCATCTTGTAGGAAATATTTTTGTGATCGCGTCGGTTCAGACGGCTCGTGAATCGGAGTTACAGAGCTCAAGTTATGACAATTTAATCAGGTATTTTGGGTCCGAAGCCCAATCCTTTTTGGAATGGGACTATTAAATAAACCTAAACTAATTTCAGCCACAAAACCCTTATCTTCTTTCTTCTTCCTCTTCCCGTTCTCCTTCTTCCTTCTTCTTCTTTTTCTTCTTCTTTTTCTTCTCCTTCTTCTTCTTTCTTCTTGGTCTTTCCCGTCCAGCTTCACCGCCAGGTCCAGCCGCCGTCGCCGAGACTCCAGAGCCGCCGTTGCTCGCATTCCCCAGCCTCGCCGCCTCATCGCCGACGGATTGCAGCGCCGCCACGCCGAGC